TAGTGGATTTCTAGACATTTCTGTTCACATAGTTAATGCCTGAAAGGCCAAATGGGAGTTGTCTTAGTTGTGCAAGATTACCAGTTAATGCAATTGCAGGACTTCATGCTGTAGGCCGAGCTCTAGTAGAGGCAGGGTAGCTAAGTTCATTCTGTCGGGAGCTCAGTTATTTCTTGTGAGAACCACCAGCTCCTTGTGGAACAGCCTAGCCTTAAATACCATTAACCGTAAATGACGTCATGTATTTGTTCAGCAAACATTCTGAAACACCTGCTGTGTACCACGCACAGCAGAGGGAACTGTTGGGGTTGGGCATGAAAGACACAAAAAATTGAATAAGACCCAGTCACACCCCTCAAAGAGCTCAAGCCACAGCATTTTGCCAGGATCTGGGGAGACAGCCAGTAACTTTTACAGATCCACTGCTCCACAGTTTCACCTGCTGTTCTGGTTGCCCATTGTAAACACACATGGCTGATTCCTCTGTGAGAGATAACTTGATCCAGAAGATCTTACCATCAGGTATTTAGCAGCTATCATGTGGCATCTTTGAAATACTGTTCATGGAGGCATCAGATTTGAACCAGATCATTCACGAGGGCAGTTCTCCTGTCTTGTGCTGGAGGTTGTGCTAGGCTGCAGCGGGCCGGCTGGCCACATCAGTGTTCCACACACAGGGGGCCGTGGGTGTCCTCAGATGCTCCTGCTTCATTCCCGAGCCCTGTGAGGTTGCATTGTTTTGTGGGTGACGTTGGCTTTGTTTGTGAACGACTGACAGAAGCCCAGCACAGAAATCATATCACTGCCCGTCATGACCCAGGACCACGGAAGGAGAATTAATACACTGAGTTAACAGCAGTCGGAGTCCCTGCATGGTGGTTCTCAAACATTAGCAGGTGTAAAAATCACCGGGAGGTATTAAAACCCACATTGCTGAGTCCCGCCCCCGAGTTGCTAGTCTAGGTCCGGGGCAGGGGATGGGAATCTGCATTTCTTACAGATTCCAGGCTTGCTGATTGCTGTGGATTGATTGAATTGTGTTCCCCAAAGTCCACATAGTAAAAAGCTTAATTCTCACTGTAACTGTTGAGGGTGGGAAATCCTATTATGATAATTGAAAGGTGTGGCGCCTTGAAGAGGTGATTGGATTGTAGGACCGTGCAGTAGTGAATGCATTAATAATGGTGGTCAGGGGCGTGGTTCTGAGGGCTTTAAAAGGAGAGTTCATAAGAGTCTCTCTGCTCCATCATTTTCTGCCATGTGAGACCCCTGCATTGCTGTAGAGACACCACCAAAAAAGACCCTCACCAGATGTGTTCCCTGGACTTTGGGCTTTCCAGCCTCTGAAACTGTAGGCAATAAATTTCATTTTCTTGAAGATTACCCAGTTCCAGGTATCTTATTATAAACAACAGAAATGGACTAACACCGACCATACTGGGAAGAGGGTCAGGAAGGCATTACCCCATCATTCCAACACCCATTACTGAGTGACACCGGTCAAGCCACAATCCCCTACGGTACCCCTCGTGGTAGAACCTTGGGGACACTCGGTCTCTTTCATCTTAGCCTCACTCGGTGGGTGGAGGGTAAAGATGGGGGTTCGTGGGGTGGGCAGGGTTCTCACACTGCGCTGCTCTTCTGTAGGTCGAGGCCGAAGCCGTGAATCGTTCGATCACCATCGCCAACCAGACTAACTGCCCCCTGTACGTCACCAAGGTCATGAGCAAGAGTGCGGCTGAGGTCATCGCCCAGGCCCGGAAAAAGGGTGAGCGCTGTCTGGCAGCTGGCGGGTTTGTAGGGAGGGCTCCTTTTCCAGACCCTCATGCCAAGCGGGCCACTTTGATCACGTTCTAGCATTAACCTAATTACAGCCGAGCGAGGCAGGGAGCTCCAGTTTCCTCCCTTGGTTCCGCTGCGGTGGCCTTGTTGGTGTCTGTTTAAAGCTGAGTGCACAGCAAAGACTGGGTGGGTGGGCCCTTCTTCCTGTCCCCCACCCCCTAGGAAAGTTGGATTTAATTTGACACGATCTAAATAAACGAGGCATCTACATGGGCTATGTCAGTTTCCACCTGCTGCAGAATCCTGGGGAACGTTGTATTTCAAGATGCACCTCCCCGCCGTGGCTGGTAGTGATTTCCTCCAGGGAATAAGAGGGCCCTGCGGGATGCGGGGGTGGATTTTGTGCCAGACCCTATCATGACCAGTTTTTTGTGCTCGGATTACTTCCTGTCGGTAAACTCCATTGATGCGTTCTGGGCTGAGGTGTGTTCTCTATTGAGAAGGTTTTAGGAAACTTATGCACTAAGGGCACTTGCTGTCCTTCCCGTGGAGGACGTCCTGTGGAGCACCTCACACATTACAAGTGCAGCAGAGCCCTGTTGTCACCTGCTGCCGACTGTAGCAAGGTGGATTCATCCCACCGCATGGTTTATGCGTGGAAGTCAGCTCCATGTGCAGAGCCTGAGGGCACAGGGCCGCAGTTGATGGGGGATTTTAGCCTGATCAGAAATGGACATTAATAAAAGGGCCCTCTTCTTCCTTCCTTTCTCTCCACCACGTCCTGCACCCCTTTTCTTCTCTGTCTCTCCATCTCTGTGCCCCCATTTCTCTTCCTTTCTTCATTTCTAATTTTCTCTCTCTTGACTCAGTCTCTCTCTTTTTTCACTGTTGTTCTCTTTCTATCTCCTTGTCTCCGTGTCTCTTTCTCCATCAGTAAGGGAGCCATGTGGTCTCTGCGACTCAGTCTCTACTTCTCTGGGGGACGTGACCCACATGGGACTAGATGGCCTATGGGATTTTCCCACTGGCGGGTGATGTGGTGCAAGCCCCAGAACAAATTGCTCGGACCACTGAGGCAGCTGGTCCCAAGAGGCAATGGCTTCCAGACAGACTGGCATTTCCTGGCCCCTGTTCTTTGGCACTCCCCTGGGCCTCTGACCATAGGCTTTGGCCCAAGTGGTGGCTGCATGACAGTCTTCTTGGAAACCTGCCCTCTCCTGGCAGCTTGGAGGAATTGCCATTTTGAAATAAGAAAGAACCCAATATAATGTAATCCACTGAGTTGTTTTTCTAGGAGACTTTGTGGGTGACGATACCTTTGCAACACGGCTGAGTGTGCATGGGACTCAGCATCAAACGCCAGGCACAGCCCTGCTGCTGTCACTAGAGTGGGGACCATTGGCATGGCGTCTGAAAGGGGAAAGCAGGGTGCAGCTTAGGTTATACGATAATAATAAACAACGAGTTAGACAAGCATTGTAACATAATTTCGGATTGAGGCCTTGTCCAAAGTTGACTCCACATTCAGACGCTTATCTGTCCACTGGGAAGGTGGTGGGCTCCAGCCTGTCACCAGACAGACTCCACTGGGGTAGGTGGCATCCTGGGGCCGGCCCCGCTGGCAGAGCTGAAGCCCCTTCTTTCCGGACCTCAGTTTTCTCAGTGAAGATGTGATGTTGTTCTAGCGTTCAGTTCTGCTCCAGCACTGTGATTGGCTGCTCGACACCACTCTGTTGTCCTTATGACCCTGTGTGTGTCTTGAGGGGTCCGAGGGGGCATATTCTAGTGCCCACAGGGATTTCTCTCCACACTAAACCATCTGTGGAGGGGACCACTTCAATGTGTTTCCTTCCAGAACCTTCCAGGTGTGAGTCCACCTGTGCCCACACCATTGTGCCCACACCATGGTTCCCAGGGTGGCTTTTGCATTCAGGCCTTTAGTCCTTGAAAGCCTTAGTTTTACACAAACTTGAGCTGCTGGAAAAGAATTTCCAGTGCATTCTTGTGCTCAGGTGCAAAAATGAAAAACCCTGGCTGATTTCATCGGCTCTGAGGCTCTTTTCCATCTCACTGGAACTTCCTAACAACTTTGGGAGGCAGCCCAAGCAGGAATTTTGATATTTTGTTTACTTTGCAGCTGAGTAAGCTGAAGCTCAGTGCTAGCGAATAACAGAGCTGGGACTTGATTGTCGAGTGTCTAATGTCAGGCTATGAACATCCGTGTTAATGCTGGACTGACTGACTTTCATGCTTGGAGCTCTTTTAATATGGGTAGTGCTTCTGACCTATATCTGCTGGGCTGAGTTCCTCGAACCCAGTAGAAGCTGGAGCCTGACACCCAGCAGAATCGTGGCCAAAAAGGAAGAGACTGTAAAGGAATATTAACGGTTTATGCTCTGGGATCAATATCTTGCCCCGGCTCAAACCCCCGGTCCCCTGCGCACCAGCAACGTGACGCTGGGCGTCTGCTTTATCTCTAGGTCTCATTTTCCCATCTGCAAGGGGGGATAGTGATGGTGACTCATGTCATCATGCGATGATGTTTATATGAGATAATGCATGCAAGGACGTAGACAATATCTATTACCAACTATTAATCGTGATTGAAAAATGAAGGGCTGGTTTAACTCTGAGCTTGTCAGAAAAGGAGCTCAAAGATGCCTGCTGGCCTGGGGCAGGAGTTTTCTGCTAAGAACTGTTTTTCTGCTTCACATGGGTTCCTCTGGCCCTGGAGGCAAGCGTGAGGCACAGCCAACTTTCTGCTGCTCCATTTCTTCATCTGTGGAATGGCGAGATTCTTCCTGCATCCAGCAAGCTTTTACCACGTGATACTTCAGGCCAATGCCTGAAGAGGGTTCAGGCTGCCTAAGACTCGAAATTTTGCTACAGATGGGAGCTGTTAAAAAATTGTAATCATACCAATGGCAGGAGTAGTAAATCCTCTTCTCTTAGTGATCCCCTTGTGCCTCCCCACCCAGAGACATCATAAATTGAACAAATGTTCTCTCAAGATATTAGGTATTACGCACAGGATGGGCATCACACACGTGATATAAACTGACATNTTTCTGCTAAGAACTGTTTTTCTGCTTCACATGGGTTCCTCTGGCCCTGGAGGCAAGCGTGAGGCACAGCCAACTTTCTGCTGCTCCATTTCTTCATCTGTGGAATGGCGAGATTCTTCCTGCATCCAGCAAGCTTTTACCACGTGATACTTCAGGCCAATGCCTGAAGAGGGTTCAGGCTGCCTAAGACTCGAAATTTTGCTACAGATGGGAGCTGTTAAAAAATTGTAATCATACCAATGGCAGGAGTAGTAAATCCTCTTCTCTTAGTGATCCCCTTGTGCCTCCCCACCCAGAGACATCATAAATTGAACAAATGTTCTCTCAAGATATTAGGTATTACGCACAGGATGGGCATCACACACGTGATATAAACTGACATCAAGATTCTGAAGCCCAACTGGCCACTTCCTATGAGAATGCACCCCCCAGTGATGTTAGCATTTCCCGCTGCTGAGGGACCTTAAACCCTGGGAACCCAAATTCCAGACAAGACTTCTTATGCCCTACGGGTCAATAGGTGTGGCCTAGGCATCATGAGAAGCACATGGTCATGGGTCTTCTGAGGATCCCCTCACCTGGGGAGGAATTCCAGTGTTATGCTAGTGCACAACATAGCAGTCTTGGACCTAGAATTGGAAAATAGTGTGACTGGTGGGTTGGGTTGTGAATGTCATAAAGTCTTACCAAAATCTGTATGAGTCAGGGTTTTCCAGAGACTCAGAACTAATGGGATAGAAAGAGAAAGATGGAGATGGAGAGATTTATTTCAAGGAACTGGCTCACGTGATTGCAGTCTGCAGTCTGCAGGGTGGTCCAGCAGGCTGGAGACCCAGGAAAGAGTTGACGTTGTCACTCGAGTCAAAAGGTTGTCTGGAGACAGAGTTCCTTCTCAGCCAGTGCCCTCGCTTTACCAGCAGAGGCCCTGTGGAGGTCAGGAGCTCAGTTTGCTTTGTAATTTAGCCACACGCAGGATGAGATCCTGGGTTTGGTTGTCAGCCATCTCAGCTCTGCATCTACGAGACATAGGGTCTCTTTTAGCTCAGACGTAGGAACTTCTGAGTCACTTATGTGGTGCTGGGGCTGGGAATTTGGATCCCTGAACTCATTCTTTTCCTCCCCACTTTGTCCAGCACAATTAGGAGCAACCAGCCAATCTCATCATAGTCATCGATTTGACAAAAATCACCCAGAACCTTGCCTCTTAGAAGCATTTGATTGGGAGTATCCAGTGTTGACATGCTGTGTGTCTCTATTGCATCCCAGATGATCAGTGCTCTCTGTACTGCTGGAAATAGGGTCATTAGTGCCTTTAAATTGAACCAGATTAGAGAACCTATTCAGAAAACTCATCCTGAAGATTTTGTTCCCTAGAACCACTCTGGGTACCAAAGTCTGAGAGCGTAGGCTTTTGGGGGCTGGCGTGGGTTCTCTGAAAGCAGAGGGTGTGTATGTGTAGGTGCACATGGGTGTGCATGCTGCATCCGTCCATCACAGCTGGTTTTTCACTCTTCTTTTATGCTGCATCTAGAACTTCATATACATGATTTCCCATTGTTCCCTTTTGGATTCGTCCTCTTGCTTCTTGTTCATAGGTGGTGACTGTCAGAGCCAGGAGCTGTCACCCATTTCTAAGCCCCAGACTCACATTTATTCCTCATGCATGTGCTGTGGCCCCAGGCTGGTGGTAAATAAACACCAGTCCCTGAGTCCCCTGAACTTCCTGGCCTCACCAGAGAGCCTGCCAATGGCTGGCTTGGGGTCACATCCTGTAGCGTAGACTTTCCCTGCAGAAGAAAATCCTGAAGATCTTAGGGCCGCCAAGAAAGCATCAGCACTGTGTTTAGAGAAGTGCAGAAAGACCAATTAAACCCATTCCCTGGTTTATTATTATTAGTGATGATTATTTCTGGCACGTGGTTCTGTGGCCTGACTGAGCTCTGGAAGCTCATCCCCCGCTCCGTCATGTCGTGTTTATAGAATGGCTAGAGGAGCCCTGGGGCAGGCTCCAGGGCATTGGGGGTGGGAGACAAAGCCTCCACGTGAGGATCCACACTCCCCAGAAGGTTGAGGCCTTATACATGGTGGTTTAACTCCTGTCCTGCCTTTGGGCTAAAGAAAATAAATAAAACTAAAGTCAGCGAGGATCTCTGAATACCTCGGAATTGGAACAGAGCTAAGCAGAAATGAGTCACCAGATGCCCCTGCCTCCTAGTTCCCACCTCTCCTGTCCCTACGTGTCCCCACCTCAGCTTGGCCCCAGTCCAGAAGTCCTCACTAGGTTCTGGTCAGCAGTGGCCTTGGAAGCTTCAATCCAGTTCTGAGTTTTCAAAGGCCGGAGGCCAAGTTCATTCTCCATGGTGAGGGGCATGTTCCTGGGCACAGAGGGAGGGGATCCGGGCCCTGGAGAGCAGCTCCCTCTCCATTTGAGGTGAGGCCCACAGCCTGCAGCGTTCCCATCTGTACTACTCAGGCCACATTCTGAGATCCAGCCTCACCCCCCGCCATGCTCAGGTTTCCACAGGCAGGACAGAGAGCGGATTCAGCAAGAGGGTGTGCAGGCGCAGGTTCCAGGACACCCCGGGAGATACATGTGAGTGTCCGAGGATTTTCAGAGACTGTCCAGCCCCGCTTTTCTCCAAGCATTTTTGCTCTCATGAACTTCATGTGGATGACACCAGGAAACCAGTAGGGTGCAGATCCTTTGTTTTCCTTGGATTGGTACAGACCTGGCCTTTCTGCTCAGATGGACCACAGCCAGCAGGACCTGCAGACCTGGCTGTGTCAGGAGAGGCACACTTACCCAGATACGCATGCACACTTGCTTACCCAGGTCTGTGTGCACACTTACCCAGGTTTGCGTGCACACTTAACCAGCTCAAAGCCAGAGCTGGGGGACGGGGCTCCCTAAGATCCAGGGCCGCCGCTGGGTCCTGCCCAGCTGTGGGCATTTCATAAAGGAAATCCTTGTTATCATGCTATATTTACCACTTTGGGATGAGCCAGAGAGGTTTGAGCAGCCATCTAGCTGGCTCCTCACCCCAACTTCTGCCCAGGAGCCTTTGAGGGGGTCAGAGACCAAGGGAAACTCTCAGGCATTCTGAGCATTGGCCCTTTTCTTCCCGAGGGGCTTCCCTGTGGGCAAGGCTTCCCTTGGGCCCTGGAGCCCTCCCTCCTGCACAGGGCTTGTTACAGATTGCTTGGCATGAGCTGCCCGCTGCCCTGGCTGAACAGCGACTCCTTTGTGAAATTCCTGAGGCAGGAGGGGCGGCTCTACCAGGCAGCTCTCCAAGAGGCCGGCACAGAGGGTGTCCTGGTGCATTATCAAGTGATAAGGCCCTGAAAAGCCTGTGGAGAGGAAGGGAAGCACATTCCTGGCTGAGAGAGGTTTGGCCTTGACCTTGAGGGTGCTGTGTGTGGAGAAGAGGGAAAGCTGTAGGTCCTGGTGGGGTGGGTTATCCCTGGGGTGGGGTAGAGGAGGGTAGGTGAATTCGGCTGACCTGAGATCACATTCCAGCTCTGATGCCTTTGATCAATAAAATATTAGGCCATTTAGTCAATTTAACACATTTATTGAGTGTCCAGATAAATGATCTCCAAGGTGTCTCCATCAAGTAGAGAGTCAAAACATGCAGAACTGGGTGACTCCTGGAGTGGAGGACGGGCCTCTCAGATGGATGATGTGATACCTGAGCTGAGTTTTGGACAGAGTGAAAGAGGAGATCTGCTTCGGAGAATGAAGGGCGTTAGATGCTTTAGTAAGGAGGCTTTGTCTGTTCGTTTGTTTTACCCTTGAAGACAGAAGGGCTCCTGTGGAGGATTTTATGCGAGAGACTGGCACAGAAAGACTATGTTTTAGGAAGGAGACTCTGGAAGTGTCATGGAGAATGAATGGAGAGGTGGGGAGGGTCGGGAAAGAAACTTAAGTCTGAAGTTCCGTGGGGAGGCTCTGTTGAATGAGCTGGGACACATGAAGAAGGCTTGATTTAAGGAGGAATGTATTTAAGGCACTAAGCATTGGACTTCAGTGGGTATAAACGATTCCCAACTTTCTGGTTTACATCTGAATAGATAGAGGACGTGATTTGTGTATCGGGGAGCTGACATTCTTTCTCAGACATTGTACTAAGTAAGTTGGGCTCACTTTCCAGACAGCCCGAAATCTCAGCAGCATAACTGTGCAAACTTTGCATCTTTCTACAATGCTGGCTGTGAATGCGGTGGCTGTCAAGGGCAGTTCCTTTCTGGTGGTGACTCAGGGATCCAGGCTGTCCCTTGGGCAGATCTGGAGGGCTGTGTTTTTGTGCTCAAAGATGTCAGTCCAGTGATGTCACAGGTGATTTCTACTCACAGGTCTTTAGCTAGAACTAGACACGGTAAGGGGGGCTGGGAATTGTCAGCTGGGAGGGTTTGCTAACAGTTAAGTTCGAGGTGCCACAGATCATCCAAAAAGAAGAGTCTAGATCTCACGTGGGACTGGAAGCCCCCTGAGCTGGAGATTGTTAACAGAGCTGGGAATCCGCAGTGTAGGGGGCAGAAGATTCCAGGGTGTTTGGGACCACCTAGCATGTTGGGTTCAAAGAGCGAGCACCGAGGGTGCAATCTCAGGGAGCACGTGTTGGATGGTGACTTTGGCTGGCTGAGGTTCTTGATCTCCCCAGGCGTCCGTTCCTCGTCTGTGACATGAGGCTGACTTCTCCTTTGAAGGGATGGTGCCAGCACTTGGCATACAGGTGGTGACTCCTGACAAGGGTGGCTTCCTTCCTTGCTCGTTGCACGGGCCTGAGCCCTGGGTGTTCTGTTTGTCAGGAACCGTGGTGTACGGCGAGCCCATCACCGCCAGCCTGGGCACCGATGGCTCCCACTACTGGAGCAAGAACTGGGCCAAGGCGGCTGCCTTCGTCACCTCCCCACCCCTGAGCCCCGATCCAACGACTCCAGACTTCCTCAACTCACTGCTGTCCTGGTGAGTCCTGGAGACTGTTCACTTCCCATTCTCAGGTCTCCAGACTGAGCCCATAGGAGAGTCCAGAGCAGGGAGGTACCTGTCCCACACCATCGTGGGAGCGAGTTCACTGGGCCATCTTCAAAGTCAACCCGAGGGGATGGATGAGGAATCTAAAGGATTCCACTGTGCTGGGCGCAGGGTCCCCCATAAATGCCTTACCAAGCAGATGAGGTATGCAGTGTGCTAACGAAGCTTCAGCGTCATGTTGTGGGTTTTCTTTCCAGTGGAGACCTGCAGGTCACCGGCAGTGCCCATTGCACCTTCAACACGGCCCAGAAGGCGGTAGGAAAGGACAACTTCACCCTGATTCCAGAGGGCACCAATGGCACTGAGGAGCGGATGTCTGTCATCTGGGATAAGGCTGTGGTAAGGAGCAGTGGCCTCTGTCCTGGGGGCCCCCCTGCCTCCTCATCTCATGGAGGCCTTGAAATGAAAGTTGAGAACATCCTTGTGTGACAATATCTCTTAGGTCTGGAAATCCAAGACCACACCTTATAGGTCCCTTCCTTCTAAATGTTACTTATATATTTCTTATCATTATCATCTGCAGAACAGTGGAGACTGAAAACATACTCATAGATAGGCTTTAAGTCTAACGCTCCGAATCAGTCAGGAAAAAGCTTCCGTAGCAATCTGGTGACTTTTCAGGTCATCTCTTCTACTCTTGGAATTGGATTCAGTTTCCTTAAATGTGTCTTTTAGTGCTCTCTGGGTTTAGCATTTCTTCCCACTACAGGCTCTGGTGAGGCCTGCTTTAAAGATACACCGACCTTTAGGTGATCTTTGGGCTTTTTCATTTTAATGTTTTAAAGTATAATAGCAGAACAGGTTTTCTGTTTCTTAATGAAATTTTTAGGTTATGTAAATAATGTATCTTTAGTCCAAAAAGAATGAGGAAGTAAATAAAAATCACTGTGTTTCAGATATAATTACAATGAACATTTTGGTGAGTGTCTTACCATTTCTTGCTGGTATATGAGTGCACGTGTGTATATAGTCTGTGTGAATGAGTCTGTAAATGTCATTGGCATTACACATACTATTTTGTAGCCTTTTTAAAAAAACTTAATAAATACATCATGAAAAAGTCTTCACATTCTATACTTGAAAAGTTGTTTTTTAATAGCAGACTGTTCCGTCTTGATGCTAAACTGTGATTTATGTGTAATTCTTTGGTTGAACACTTTTGTGTTGCTTCTGATTGTTTTTTACTGGGATGAACATGCTCGTAGACACATCCTTAATTATGTTTTGTAGAAATTTCTACAAGTGGCATTGCTGGTCCAAAGGGTGTATATATTTTTTAACTCTTTTGATACACATATTGTCAAAGTTCCTTCCAAAAAGATTGCAGTACTTTGTATACCACCAGCAATGTGTGACATTCTTCAGTTTCTTCTACCAGCTCCAAATGGGTGTTACTAGCAAAAAATCAAAGTCTTGAATAGGTGAATTTTGTGTGTCATTGTTTTACATTTTTTTCAATTACTGATTAGAGTGAGTATTTTTCATATGCTCATTGGCCATTTGTATTTTTTATCCTCTTAATTCCTGCTCATACCCTTTGCCCATTTTTCTGCTGGGTTTAGAGCAGGTTTGGGAAGGGAAGGACTTGAGGAAATGATTTTGTCACCTGCAGCATCCTGGATGCGGGGCTGAGACTTCTGGGTTAACTAGACTAGGAGCCTAGACCTGCACCTTTGTTTTGTTGAAAAGGACACCACTCAGGCCAGTGATGTTTCCTGAAGAGGCATCGAAGCCCCTACAACTTTTTAAAAGAAGGTTTCACTCTGAAATAACTTCAAAACGTTCGTGGAAAAATGGAATTAAAAGATAATACAAATCTTTCTGTGAGTTTTTTGCAGACCCTTCGTAGATTCATAGGAGGTTGCACAAATAGTCACAGAGGGGTCCTGGGTGCCCTTTGCCCAGTTTCCCCTGTGGTTGCGTCCTACATAATTGTAGTAGGTTATCAAAACCAGGACCCTGGCAGGTCCTGTAGCGTGTGTGTCTGGCTCCAAGACATTTTGTCCCCTGTGGCTTCACGTAATCAGCACCCCAAAGACCTCCACTGGGCTGCCCCTTTATGGGCTCCCTACCTCCCCACCCTGCCACCGTCCCTAACCCCTGGAAATCCATGGAGCCCCCTGTCTATTCTCCACCTCTACAGTTTTGTTATTTGGGAATATTATGGAAATGGAATCATACAGTATGTGGCCTTGGAGGGTTTTTTTTCCCACTTGGCTCAATGCCCTTGACATCCATATAAATTATGTGTATCAACGTTAGTTCCTTTTTATTGCTAAGTAATGCTTCAACCTTCAAATTTTTAACCTGCTTTTGCTGTGCGTTTGTGTGTGTGTGGTGTCTGCATGTGTGCATGTGTGTGCGCTGATCCTCAGGTCACTGGGAAGATGGACGAGAACCAGTTTGTGGCTGTGACCAGCACCAATGCAGCCAAAGTCTTCAACCTCTACCCTCGGAAGGGCCGCATTGCTGTGGGCTCCGACGCTGACCTGGTCATCTGGGACCCTGACAGCGTTAAAACCATCTCTGCCAAGACACACAACAGTGTAAGGCCTGTTAACCATGCAGACCCCATCTAAACAAAGGACGGTCACAGAAGGAGACAGGAGGGGGTAGTCCTGGGATTTCTAAAATGAACTCGCCATGATAGGAATGAGCTTTTCTCCAGGATATGTTTTAACTTGTAATTTGCTGAAAAAGAAAATAGCTGTTTCATTTTCTTGAGAGAGGTCGGTAAGACTGATGCTATTGTCATTGGTTTAGAGTACCATGGCCTCTATCTGTAGACCTTCAGACCCTCCAGACCCATGCCAGGATATTAAAAGCTTCTAGAAGTCAGGCACTATTCCATTTTTGTAGTTTGGCACAGCACCTCTCATGGAGGTGTTTGGTGTAAGGGACCTAAATAAAACAGTCACATGTCCTCTCGTGCGATGCCCACTGGGCACTATATTCTCTTAAGCCACAGTTTTCTCGTGCCAGTGTTAACCCTACAGAAACCTGAATGACAGCTGCTCTTCTTGTCCTAAAGGAATTGATCAACTTTGACCTCTCTCCAAATAGCAGTAACCCCCTGCTCAGCCATTCAATCATAGTTTTAGGATCTGCAGGTTTGGGGTATCTCTGACCTTTTGGTCTGGGTTGCAGAGTGTGGGGTTCCTTGTCTTGCAAATGGAACCCTGGGCAAGTGACCTTGTGGCTTATGCTCCTCAGCTGAGAATGAGGGGTTCAGATGAGATCTCTGAGTGTCCTGTGATTCTGTGGGGTCAGTGGGCATTAAGCAGAGATACCGACTCCTCCCAGACAAAATTGTATATATATGACATTGAAAGAACTGGACAAGGTGGAGCTTTGGAAAAGAAGTGGGCATAGGGCAGAAGGATTTTATGTTAGAAACCCATTTGAATCTTGATGAAAGAAGAGGATGTTCTTGATGAAGTGCGTCTGGGAAGGCTGCTCTGCTCCATATTTATAGCTGACTTTTTCCTCCATCCCCTGGCAGGCTTAGCCTGACCATGTAGCCTATGGCTGCACCCACTCAAAAGTTAGACCACAACCTCTTGGGGGTCTCTAATGGCTTCTGGATGGGCGAGCGTTCTGGGGCACTGCCCACTGAACCTACCTATTCATATGCATTTAACTTCGCGTTCCCATTTACTCTTTCATTTGACCTTCTCTGTAAAGAGACTGGTACTGCTGTCCCAGTTGGGAAGATAAATAAACAGAGACTTAGAGAGCTTAAGTGACCAGTCTAATGTTACATAGTGATTTTGTGGTCGAGCCAGAATTAGAATCCAAAGTTGTTCAGGCTCTTCCCTGCCAGACTTCATGTACAGCCTCTTGGTCAGGGTTAGGTGGGGATGCTTCCCCTCCCGTGCGGGTCCCCTCCTCCAGAGGTAACATGCAGACGGGGCTCATTACTTGTGATGCGGATGACCTGCCTGGGGAGCTGCATTTAGAGATCTTGAGCTGGAAGGAGAGCAAAAGAGAACAAGTGGAGATTTGGGATCCCGTGCGGGTCCCCTCCTCCAGAGGTAACATGCAGACGGGGCTCATTACTTGTGATGCGGATGACCTGCCCGGCGAGCTGCATTTAGAGATCTTGAGCTGGAAGGAGAGCAAAAGAGAACAAGTGGAGATTTGGGAAGACAGATTCTGCCCCCCAGATATTTCCACCCAAAACTTTCCAGAGCAATAGCACTGCCCTGCCTCGGCCTCCAGGCGACCCGTGGAAGAAATGTTGATTTTCACAGCACCTCTTCTCCATCCTTACCTGTTTTAAAGAGCCAGTACGAAGCATGCCTGTGCAGCCCTAATCATCTGGGAAAACACAAATAGGCTTTCCCGGTGTCATATAGGGTTTCCTACCACAGGGCTAATTAGCTTTACCTTTTAACATCTAGCTATTATTGAGAGCCCTGTTGCTAAGCCCGCCCTTGGATTTTCCAGGCATTCAGCCAGATGAGTCATTTTAGGGAGCCCATGTGGATGTAGGTTAAAAATGTCTATACCTGGCAAGTGATGAGGCCTCCCTGCCTCATGGTTTGGCAGAGGGCAGGCTCTGAGTGCCCTGAGCCGTGATCTGACCCTCAGACTTGTCAATTTTAAATCACTTAGCGTCATGGGGCTGGTTCCTCCATCTTTTAAAAGTGGGAGGTAGCCCCCACGCTCTTCTAGGTGTTCATGTATGGGCAACTGGACTCAGTATATACATTGTCTGATGCCTTGGATGCTGAAGAGCTTGCAATCTTGTTGGCAACGTGCAGTAAGAAGCCAGACAGTGAATGAGTGAACATTTTCTAAATGCCTGCAGTGTGCCAAGAAGCATGCCAGGTACTTTTGTTCATTTTAGTTCATTTGATCTTGGCATCAGTCCTGCAAGGTGGGCCTTATGTATCCTCTTATAGAAGCAGCAGCTGAGGCTTAGAGGAGTGTATGGGGCTTGTCCAAGGTCACACAGCTGGTGAATGGCAGACCTGGCATGTAGACCCAGGGTAGATGGCTCCGTGGCCAAGGCCGTGTCCATTACTCTGTCCAGTAGTGTACAAGAGGAGATTGTCCAGGCACTCACAGTTAGCTGTGGAACCATGTGGAAGAGATGTGGCTTGGTCCATGCCTTTTAAAGGATGACTCCACTCCTTTCAAAGGTCATTTCAGAGATGACAGGATTCTCTCATGGTGATCTACACACAGATGATACTTTTTGTATTGTCATCACATAGGCCGTGGAACATGGCCAATGAAGAAACTGAGGCTCTGAGACAGGATTGGAGTGAACTGCTCAGGGGCACACAGCTTCTGGATTTTGCCATATCTGACATGGTTTATGTACCATGATGAAAGAAAACACACCAAAGATGAGGAGTCTAATAGGAGACTCCTATACAAACATGCTGGGCCTCCAGAGCCAGCATGTGCTTAGTATGGGATAAGTGAGAAGCAAATGTGCTCTGCAGGAAAGGTGGCAGGAAATCTTGCCTATCCTGACTTTTGGCCTTGGGTGATCGGAGGGAAAACTGTCTCTCCTGAGAATGTGGACTGAGAGCTGGTGCTTGCACAGGTTGGAGGTCTGAATTCATGCTGCCTGTACGGTTCAGAGCAAACTCAAGCTGAGAATCGAATGTGAAATTCCCTCAGCATGTTAGTCCTATAAGCCAGTGACAAAAGCAAACCCAGACCCCACCTGGAAGAAGTCAGCTTCAGTCTAGGCTGACAGCAATTGCACGGATCTGTCTGTAGAATCGTTGTCCTGAACTGCAGGGTACTAGCTCAGCTGTCTTCAGAGCCACCTTCTCGAGGGCTAAAACCTGCTCTGAATTTCCCAGGCCCCTAGCTGCTTTTTACAGTTGGAGCTGCCTATTAATCCCCCAGGCCTGGCTCAGCCATGCCCTTTGTGCCTGTGAACAGGGCAGGCAGGGAGACATGGGAGGCATTCGAGATCTGGGAAGTAGCACTCGGGGAGCCAAAGCTATAGGATGCAGTTCTGATGCAAGTTTATAATGTCAGAGTGCAACACCCCATTTTCTGCTGCCTCATTCCCAGACATACACTCACATATATATAGAGATCCCACCTGCTTTCCAAGAGGGCACACGGGTATGTCTCTGTTTCACTCCCCAAAACCTGAAACCAAAAGGACAGCTGCATTGTTTTGGAAATTAACTAAAGCTCAACCATTTTATTGAAGGCATGTCTCATGTTACCACAATCCTTTCATTTAGGGATTTCAGTTCAACCACACCACTAACAGACTGGAAAAGCCAGGCAAACCAGAGAGAAAGCCTACTTGTGGATGGCCTGTTTCAAGGTTAAATTTAGAAATTGGTCAGAGAAGGCCTTTGTGTTCCCACCTGATGGGACCTTGGGTTTGGGGGGACAAAGTCACTGTTGGTAGGAGGCATCATTTTCTTTACATTTGTGTAGCATTTACAAACACATGCTTTTAATATTATTCTATTCAATTATTTTTCTTTTAGGTTTGAAGAGGTAGGAAAGATTATTCTATATTCTAGACAGGGGAATTAATGCAGAGAAGGAGTGTCTGCTGGGATGGTCAGTTGGGACAGGACTCCTCTCTGGGCCTCTCTTTTGGGCATGTGGTGTTGGGGTAATGGGAGCTCTCAGACTGCTTAGGTCCAACCAAGGTGGCAGGGCCTGTTCTGAAGTTACTGGGCTCTATTCCTGCAGGCTTTGGAGTACAACATCTTTGAAGGCATGGAATGCCGTGGCTCTCCACTGGTGGTCATCAGCCAGGGCAAGATTGTCCTGGAGGACGGCACTCTTCATGTCACCGAAGGCTCTGGGCGCTACATTCCCCGGAAGCCCTTCCCTGATTTTGTTTACAAGCGTATCAAGGCCAGGAGCAGGGTGAGTAGTTTTTTTCTGATGTATTTTTTAAAAAAAATTGTGGATTAAGTTCAATGCCATGAACATCTATGGAGCACTTTGAATCAGAATATCAAGATGAGTATGAGGGATTTCAGGGATAAGGGGAATCTGGTCTTTTTATTCCTGGAACTTAAATACTGGTGGAGGACTCAGGTGTGTCCACAGCCAGCCAGAGCAAAGTGACACTATGCAAAGTGACACTAGCAAAGTGTGGTGTGTGATATGATGAGAAGTGTGGAGAGAGGTTCTGGAGGAGGAAGTCACTGCTATAGAGTCGTGGAGGAAAGTATCATGGGGAGAGGGCATTCTGAGTTGGGTTTTGAAGGTTAAGTAGGAGTTTGTCAAGTCAAAGAAGGGAGGTAAGGGAGGTAAGGGAACTAGGTAGAGAGATTGTCATGAGCAGGGAAATGTTTGGTGAACAGTCTGCAGCACTGGTGCTTGGGGACTGAGGCAGGGAAGGGATGGAGTTATAAGGGAATTGAACGGAGAGAGTGGGATTGGGAAGAAAATTTGGGGCTAGATCTTGAGCGTAACACCAGATCCTACTCATGGCATGTTTAGGGTTTAAAGGTGAAGTGTCTTGGGGGGAAATGGTAAGAAATGCTAGTATTTGTAGAGTAAGTAGTTGCTGGTTAGGGTAACCCTAAGCTTTTGGGATGCCGTGGCCTAGGGTTGTGGGACCTGGCCCCACCCCAACAGCTGTCCCCATTAGACCTGTCACAAGGGCAGCCCTCCATCCCCAAATCCCCCAGGCCCATCCTGGCCTCTTTTCCTCCCCATCAGGAGGGTAGCTAGGGAGGTGTCCTCTGTGAATGTGGCCTGAGTCAAAGGGCTCTTGTGTTTTGCAGCTGGCAGAGCTGAGAGGGGTCCCTCGCGGCCTGTATGATGGACCCGTGTGCGAGGTGTCTGTGACGCCCAAGACGGTCACTCCAGCCTCCTCAGCTAAGACATCTCCTGCCAAGCAGCAGGCCCCCCCTGTCCGGAACCTGCACCAATCTGGATTCAGCTTGTCTGGTACGGTGATGGCTTGGCTAGGGCGCAGTTCTGCAGGGCCAGCTGACTGGCTAGAGAGTCTGCAGTTGGGAAGGGGGCAGAAATGTATGGGAATGATAGTCCCATTCTTCAAAAGCGGGAAATGCTAACATCACTGGGGGGTGCATTCTCATAGGAAGTGGCCACGATGGCTTGGCTAGGGCGCAGTTCTGCAGGGCCAGCTGACTGGCTAGAGAGTCTGCAGTTGGGAAGGGGGCAGAAATGTACGGGAATGATAGTCTCATTCTTCAAAAGCGGGAAATGCTAACATCACTGGGGGGTGCATTCTCATAGGAAGTGGCCAGTTGGGTTTCAGAATCTTGATGTCAGTTTATATCACGTGTGTGATGCCCATCCTGTGCGTAATACCTAATATCTTGAGAGGACATTTGTTCAATTTATGATGTCCATTTTACAAAAGGACATTGTGGTGTTTCAGGTCTTTCTTTCTCCCCTATGATATTTGTAGTAGTTCAGTTTGTGGTGTCTGGAGTTTCAACCCTCTAACTTCGTAGCTCACATCTAGCTGTGCCTCAGTCTCCTCATCTGTAGAATGGGGATAATAGCAGTAGCTCCCTCAGGGGGTTGTTGTGAGGATTAAATGAGTTTATATTCATGTGAAGTGCTTAGAACTGAGCCATCTAATAAAATGGTTATTTTTATCCAGGCCATTTGCTTGGATAAAACACGTGATGTCCCCTTGGTGAGAGGAAAGGTCCAGGTTTGAGAGTTGCCTTACTGGAAACTTCCATTTCCTTTGGAATCTTCCATTTTTCCAGCTCCCTGAGCCAGATTCCTGTGGCATGTTAGAGAAATGGTTAATCAGATTTATTTTTCCTTGTCAGATCTACTGGTTTTCAGAAAGTTAACCACATGCACCATATATTGGGTTACCAATTTTCAAAACATTTTAAAATAACGAAGCTTAGTTCTGTCACAAAGTAAAGTGGGCATAATAATGTCTACTATCTAATCTCATCATCCCTCCTGCTTTTGACTCTACTAGGCACAGGGTTAGGGAAAGGGAGGCCAGAGAGAGGCTGTATCTTCAGAAAAGCCGCACCCGGGTTGACTCTCAGGAGGGGACAGAGTGGAGTCTGAGACACACTGTTATTTTGTATGTGGTTCTACCTTTTCCAGCGGTAGCTTTCGCTGGCTTCTGCAAGGCTGCTTTACATAGTGTGCGATTCTTGGCTCTCTTAGGTTCATCTCTTTTTTTGTAGTTTGAACTTTCAGGGAGGTTTTTAGAGAAGGGCAAAGGTCCTGGCACTGTTTTCTCCCAAGCTGTAAAGCAAGAGCACTGAGAGCGGTGGAAGTCTGTCCGGACCCTCACCCCTGTCTCTTCTCCCCTCCAGGTGCTCAGATCGACGACAACATCCCCCGCCGCACCACCCAGCGCATTGTGGCGCCCCCTGGTGGCCGTGCCAACATCACCAGCCTGGGCTAGAGCGTCTGCACAGCGCCGTCCATTTGGGGATGGGGATGGGATACCCGAGGACTTCTGAGACTTCTTTCCTTCCTTCCTTCCTTTTTTTTTTTTTAAGAGCCTGTGATAGTTACTGTGGGGCAGCCAGTTCCCGGGGCTCCCTCGTGGGCCCCGCTCTCCGCCTCTCATCTGGACTTTCTCTTTGCTCACCCACTCCCCACACATCCACGACTCTCACACCCGAGCCCAGCCACCAACCCACACACGGAGCTGCACCCAACACTCAGACATGCGAGACAGCACATCACGGCGAGGCTGGTCGCCATCTCGAACCTCGCTTGTACCCATTAGCACCTTCCTTTTCTTCGGGGAAGATACAGTGAATTGCCCAGAGCTGCCTTTTTCTTTTTTAAAAATTTTAAGCACATTTTCTTTGTGGGGGCTGGGAGGGGTAGGGTCGGGGGTGGGGGGAGAGGGTTTTTTTTTTTTTAATACTAAATTGGAAAGTGTCACTGAATATTCATACAAGGGGCTTGAACTGGACATCCTAATGATGCAATTACATAACTAAGAGCTGACTCAGGGTGGTTGGCAAACTCATCACATCCGTCCTGAGAGGCTCCAAAATCCACATCGCCATTCCGTAGTCTTCTGGGTCAACTGTGGATAAGGGGCAGGTTTTCTTTTTTGGCCTAGACCTTGCTGCAGATTAAATCTTTTTGAGGATTCTCTGCTCTCTTCACCATTTCTCGGCACATGTGTTCTCTCTCTCTCTCTCTAGCTTTTTCGTTCATAAATATTTTCAAATGCCTGTCTCTTTCTTTGTGTTTCCTCCAGCCCTTGTCTCTGAGACAGTATTCTTTTCTCCCTCCCCTGTGGTGTTCTCAAATCACCAGGTCCACCCTCCTAACTATGGTCACAGAGTTTGCCTGCAGGATTTGAGCTTTGCCATCACTACCACGTCATACGTTAGCCTAGCCCATGAGTGGCTGGTGCGACCTGCCCGCCATCATGGGGAGCTGCAAGTGAGTTTGAGAGACTTGCCAGGTGCAGGGACGGGCTAAGTTGTCTCCCCCACACTCTCACACGTGGGCCCAGAATTAACCACAAACAGTGCTGAGATATTGCAAAAGTCTGAGGCTGCAGAACGTGAGAGTTTTAACTCTGTGCAATGCTAACTGGTCAGAGCTGTGCACAGAGCCCCAGTGACCCAACCATGCCAACCGACGTTGAGCCAAGCCCCAGCTCAGGAGTGCTAAGCTCGTGGGAGTGTGGCCTGTGTTTAGGCAAGGCCAGTTAAGTATCTTTTGGGATGATATTTCCAGAATGCACTGGGGCTTCTCACGTTGGGGAAAAATCTCATTTTTTTTCCATGTCCAGTTATTTCAAAAGACAATGCAATATAGGGAGGCCTTAGAAACTCAGAAAATGTTTTGGATATTTGACTTAAAGTCCATTTTACTTGCAAGAGGAAGAATCTGTTGTGTGAGGGATACATCACTTTGGAACTGTTGTGAGCAGAAAGCCTTACACAGTCAACGTGTGGCCCCCTTAGAGACCACAGGCGACCTGGTGTCTCCCTCCTTCTCCTTGTCTCAGAGAACTTTCCTCGCTAGCTGGCTCTGTTGTGCTTGTCACTGCCGACTTGTGTTACGTTTCTTTCCAGATGTGTTTACAGGTTCTCTTCAGCAATGTTAGGTGTGCAGCTTTTATAAAACCAGGTCTGCTTTTGTAAAGCACAGACAGCATCAACAAGCAGGTCATTGCACCCTTCCCTCGTCTCTGCACACATTTTGCCTTGGTGGTTATAGTTTTATGTTGTTTTTGTGTATTTGTTATGTTAAAGGTAAATTGCACTTTTAAAAAATAATTGGTTGACTTAATATATTTGCTTTTTTTTTTCTCACCTGCTCTTAGAGGAAATTTGAACAAGTTGGAAAAAAAAATTTTTTTTGTTTCAATTCTCAGAAACGCAGCTCTTCAGTGTTCACTTGGGTCTTCCTGTTTTTCCTGTACCAGGTCATGGTCATTTTGGTCGTTTTGGTTGTTTTCTTAAAATGCAGTTTAAACCCGACGATTTCTGCAGGCTGTGTAAGCATGTCTACCTGTTGGCTTGCTCTATATGTCTGTTAAATGAATGTCATATGTAAATGCTAAAATAAATCGACAGTGTCTCAGAACTGAATAACTGCAGTGACTTGATGCTCTAAAATGTGTAGGATTTAATCATAGCTGGTTTTTAACCCTTAAATTGTGATTGTGACCCATGAGTGGAGGAACTTTCAGTGCTAAAGCCGATAATGTGTGTAGCCAGAAGAGTGCTTTTTTTTTTTTTTTTTGTAACCACTGTCTTAACGGCAAAATAATTATGGTAAAAAACAAGTCTCGTGTTTATTATTCCTTAAGAACTCTGTGTTATATTTACCGTGGAACGCCTAATAAAGCAAAATGTGGTTGTTTCAGGGTGTGTCTGTATTAAGATGTTCAGGAGGTGGTTGCTCGGCCTGAGTCTCTGACAAAACTTCCCCTCCAGGAACATTCACAGGAGCCCCCGGCTTTGTCTTTGTGGCTGTAACAGTTCAACAATTGCCACTCCATGTTCAGGTCACTGTGTCCTGACAACAGATGAGGTCTCATTCTAAGCAGAGCCGCAGCCCGTGGGTGCATGGTAGGCTGAGTGTCAGAAATCTCCAGAATCCATCCTGGAGAGGCCTGGAGAGCCTCCAGAATCCAGCTGCAGACCTAAGTCTGAAGCAGGAGTCGGGTGGGACCCTATGGTTAGTGTGGGTGACCCCTGAGAGCTCTCTGCCTCCTTCCAGCTTGTTTACCCTGGAAGAGCCTCAAGCGAGGGTGTGGGTAGATAAGAGACTCAGGTATGCTGACCTGCATCCACACCTCAGTCAAGGAGCTGGCGGGAAACCAGGATGGAGAGCGTGTGGCCTTCCGCCTGCAGCCAAGTGTCAGGAGTGCATGTCAGAGGCAAGATGTGCCCACCCTGGTGGACTGGATGCTCGGTGTCCCCAGCTTCCCTGTCACTGGCACCAGTGCATTGAGCCCCCCGGGCCCATCACACAGTTGATGAGGTCGTCTTCTCTTTTTCCTTCCCTCCCTTTTTGTTTTCTATTCAGCCCTGTCCAAACAGGGTATGAGGTGACTCACAAAAATACATGCGTGATACCAGGACTGTAAACAAAGAGTGTTTGGATGAAGGGAGCAGCCGAGGGAAGTAAGAGTAGGGCCCGAGCGATTGCCCACAGGATGCCTGGTGCAAGGCTGACCCCTTGTGGGAAGCCCCAGGTGTCCCAGCAGTGAGCACAGGAAGGGAGCTGTGGCCGGTGACCACACCTACAGTGACCAGAAGATTGACAATGGAGTTGAATCCTAGAGGTAGTACAGAGCATCCTCCTCAGCCCCGAGGGAAAGGCCTGGGGCCCTGCGGTCACCAGTGTTGAGTGTCCAGGGCTGGCCCTTACTCTGCCCTTCCCTGTGCACCAACAGCAGAGTGCTGCCATCCAGTCAAGTCCAGTCTGTCCGGGAGAGGGGACCCAAAAGTCTCACCCTAACACCTACGGGACCTGCAGCAGGGGTTCAAATGGCTACCCCAGACCCACAGCCTGCTGTCCTCTTACGCTCACCCTTCTTTCCACACCAAGCCAGCCTCGTGCCCAGCTCATGGACACCCCAGCCCACACACCCAAGTTCTACACAACCCCTAGCAAGCAGCTGCCCCAAGGGTATCCCCAGCAGCTGTGAGTTCTGCCCTCTGAAGGACAGACCCAGCACAGAGGCCCATGGAGGTGCTAGGAGTAGGCCTGGGTCTGTTAGAGCAGAGACCCAGGTACCAAAGCTAACCTGGCAGGGGCAGCCCAGGCTCTGGCTAGGAGCATCTCCGTGACCCCTCAGCATGCTGGTGGGGGGCCAGAGTGCCAGTGTCTAAAGATGGACCAGGGCAGCTAGTTCCTTGTGGTTAAACAAGGAAGCCAGCTAGGTCACTCTTTACTGGTGTGATTTACTCCAACTACCAATTTTAGAGCATCTAGGAAAAGTAAGTGGAATGAATATCCTTCAGGAATTGTTTTGTCTAGCATTGCTGTGAGTTGAAAGTTATATTTCTGGCGAGTTTGTGCAGAACACACTCTGTAAGAAAAGGTGGACCTTCTCCTGTCAACTGAGATGAGGATAAGTCCTGAAAGTATGACTGATGAGGTATGTGTCTTTCAGAAAGCTGTTTAACTTCTATGGGTCTTACTTACCGTCCGGTAAGATACAGCTGAGGTTATCTACCCAAACTCTCAGTTTAGGATTTTGGAATTAGCTCAATTCTCAGCTCCCCTTGCCCCTTGGTAAACGGCTAGCTGTACATGCGGCACGGGCAGAGTAGAGGATTGCAAAAGAACGCCGGGAAGCTGTTGGAAAGTGTCCTAAATGTCTCTTCTTCCAAGATAGAGGTAGATTAGAAGATCAAGACTGATGACTGCAACGGTCTTTGGTCGACTGCAGAGATTGTAGGACTGGGAGACGTCAGAGATGGTGTCAGTTGTTTAGCAGAATAATCTGTTGGTTACAGTCACAATGATAATAGCTTGCATTTATGATTATGTGCCAGGCGCTGTTCTGAGAGCTTTATTTACACCTATCGACTCAGCTGATCTTTGCAGCAATCCATGAATAAGGTACCATTGCTTTTGCTAGTGTACAGAAGCACAGAGAGTTAAGAAACTTGCTCAGAACCAGGCTTTGAATCTGTGCGGTGGGGGGCCGGTGGGCACATTTTTGATTACTGTGATTCCACTATCACTAATGAGAAAGCTCCTGCTCAGCAGAGTGTGGGTAAGAGAGATAGAACGGGCCAGAGTATAAGACTGCAGGGGGTTAGGCAGGCTTGGGGGAAAATGTGGGCAAACGAGAGCTTTGCAGAAAAGTGTACAGTGATCTCCGGATGCCAACACATGCTTGGAAATATGTAGCCTCTAGTTAAGAAGTGAGAAACCTTCAGAACACACAAAAAGAGCCACAAGAACAATGGCCCAAAGAGGATAAAACACGTAAAGACAAGCAGTACTTTGAGTGCATTAAGTTTTATAGACAAGATTTGGGGAAATTGTGATCTGGTGAAAAATTACAAATGTGTGTATACACACAAGTGTATGTATATGTAATTAATTTTGATAAGAATCTCAAAAGTAAATAAAATAATGTCTATGAAAATACTTTGGAAAGGGGCAAAGGGACTGAGGCATGTAAATGTACCCTCATTTTATTAAGAATTGTTAGCGGAAGAGGACTGGTGCAGAAGGGAAGGCGACAGGCAGGGGACCCCTGAGCAGTGAGGGTCTTGGGAAGTTTTATGGTTCCAATAATGTATGACCTTGAGATTATTCACATGGTTAGCTCTGGCAGCCAGGCCTCATCCGTGCTGGAGTTACACGCACAATCCTTTCCTAATACGCAGAGCCTGGTTCGTGTCATGGGAACGGGGTGGAGGTCAGAGAGGAAGGCCCGTAAGCCTCCAGCGATGACCTTGCCTGGGACCAGCTGTTTTCAGCTTTGTCTTGTGACGCTGGGAACCCGGGGTCCTCGATAGAACCCAAGTGTGGGCCGTCAGGTCGAAGGGGGCAGGGAAGGGAGAGCTTACTGTTTTGCTGTTCATGGTTCTTTAGGATCAATCCCTGCTCAGAGAAGTCTAAATGTACAGTGGACTTGACATTGAGGCTTCCCCTTTCTGATGGCCATTTCCCTATCGCTCCAAGGTTTCTCAGTCTTTGCCCTTCAGCTCTTGAAGAGACCCCCTAGTCCCCCGAGTCCCCCAAGCCCTCCAAGTCTTCATTTTCAGGAGGTCATGTGGAAGCAGTGGCCAAGGTTCAACTCATTCGTGGGGCTGAACGCCCTCTGCTGGAGACACATTTTTATTTTTTATTTTTTTGCATAATTTACTTATTTTCATATTAGTCCCCCGAGTCCCCCAAGCCCTCCAAGTCTTCATTTTCAGGAGGTCATGCGGAAGCAGTGGCCAAGGTTCAACTCATTCGTGGGGCTGAGCGCCCTCTGCTGGAGACACATTTTTATTTTTTATTTTTTTGCATAATTTACTTATTTTCATATATTTGGATATGTAGATTACTTCTAAGTGTTCCCAATTTTAAGGTGGACAGACATCTTTATTTTTAAACCTGTGTGTGCTTCTCTAATTATTTCCCATACGAGGGTACTTCAAAAAGTTCATGGAAAGATTCGTATTATCTTTTTTTAAAATTTATTTTTTAACTGAAACACAATTGATTATACGTATTTATGGGGTACAGAGTTGACTGTCAGTATTTGTGTACAATATGTGATGATTGAATCAATATTATTAGCGTGTTCATGATTACAAATCATAATTATTCTTTGTGTCCCTTACTCAGTTTCTTCTCAGCCCTCCACCTGGTCCCCCTTTCCTGCCTCTAGAAACCATAAGTCTGTTCTGTCCTTCTGAAAGTTCAGTGTATCGTTGTGGTCTTCCTTTCTTCCTTTCTTTGATCTTTTATTATGTATTTCTGCCGTGGGTGAGAAAGCTCAGAATGTAGTCACGGACGGCTTCAACTGTCCAGAGAACGGGAGCGGGCGGGAGAGGGCGAGCCGTCTGTGCGGTGGATCCTGGGTGTCCTGCCTGGAGCAGCGAGACAGGCCCCCAGCTTTCTCCCCACTCTGACCCACTGTCTCACCCGCTCCCTCCCGCTGCACCACTTTTTGACACCACGGATCTTTGGTCTCTCCATCTCTCCATCTCTCGACCTGACCTCCCCACTGTCTGGCCATTGCGCACCCCAGCCTCTCGTCTGTAACCCCAGGACCCTGCAGCAAGCACTTGAACCCTCAGGTTCTCAAATGTCTTCCTTGACCTCCAGTTGTGCCTGCAGAGCCACCCCGCCATGGCAGCCCCCCCAGCCAGCAGCCCCGCACTGCACTGTCTAGTGCACAGCACCACCTCCAGAGGACAGGGACAACCCCACACAGTGGAGGGCCTTCTGACTACAGACCACATGCCAGACCATGAGCAATGAGAACTCATGACCCGGCCACAACCGCCTGGCTTCCCTCCTGGCCGTGGCTGCATTCAGCCAGGCCCACATGCCACCGTGCAAAGGGGCTGTGGAAATCCAGGCATCGCACCTTTCTTCCTCTCTTTTCTCGGTTGTCACCTACTTGCCGTCCTTCTGGGCATCTCTCTTCCTCTGTGCTCTTCCTCTGGACCAAGCCTCCCACTCCAGAACCATATGTGTTTCATGATCAATAAATGCACATCTTATTCAATAAACTCTCACCTTCACTGAACATCTCTGCTACTCCCTTGCCCTATAAAAATACCCCAGTCTTTCTAAGGACAAAATTTCATCGTCAGTTCTTTCAAGTGGAGGTTCCTCTGCACCTCACTGTCCACATTCTGCAGGGTGGGGAGGCCGACGTCCTCCATCCTCTGCAC